ACTTCAACATAGGGTTTTAAAATTAAAGGACCTAACATGTAGTTTTCAGAGCGGTTTAAGGAAGCTTGGAATAGAATCTCATTAAATCATTCAGTAAACATTTATAACAGAAGTGAACATAACAAATGCTAGACAATGAAAATGAGACTTGACTGTGAACAAGATGATCTCAAGGAGAATTGTCACTCTCTAGGTTCCTACACATTAGAAAGACACTTTTTTGAGGAAAACTGGACAAGAGGTGGTCAAGACTACCTGAACAATCTAATAAGACTAGCTGGTTGTTCAAATATTTTTGATACGATTCCAAGTGAATCTACAAAAACTAATTGCTCAAACTACTGTGTTACAGGATTGTAATGAAGAAATAAACAAGATAAGATGCTGTTTAACAATTCCTAATGAAACAAGAAATGTTTTATACACCAAGATGCCTACATTCATGACACCCAAACGTAGCTGCTACTTTGTCGTGGTGGTCGAGCATGCCAATCGTGACGACCCAACCGAGCTATATTGGCTGGAACCTATGTACCTGTAGGTCGTGCCATGTCAGGCAGGTCGATTGGAGAACGATGAGACTACAAACAACCACTCAAGGTCTGAGGGCGAAGTCGTACTGCTGACTTTTGAGGGGTGTGACAGTGATAAAGTGTTTCCTTCAGACAATCAGCATCTGCAGCGGTGCTGCCTTCTCACAAGGAAGGAAGGGCCTAGAAAAGGCCGACCCTAAAAATGTCATACCTCACCTTACCCCACGGATTTCCGTCTCAGGCGGCAAGGCTACTTGAAGAGTGGAGCTAACATGTCAAAAACTTCCAATAAAAAGGCCGTGTGTGGCCGGCCTCAAGTAGTTATCTCTTGGGCTCTACAGTCACCCTCCCAAGTCGCTCAGATCAACGTTAATCTGATTTCCTTTCAAGGTTCCTCAATAAACAGCCTTCTGTGGTGTGAGCAGCCCTTATACCTGCAACAGCACACGACTAACATTCATGACGATTCTAAATATACCACACCTATTAGTCACGCTTGTATACTTAAACAAGGCACAATGATGTCAGTAGCTAGTTCTTAAAAACGCTAAGTACTATCATAAACCTTACCGATATATAATACCATATTGTTTACAGAATAAAGTATGTGAGCAAACTTTGATCTAAAATAAATTATCACATATACAAAGAAACTTGCATAAATAAACTTTCAGTTTACGTATTTAATAATTTTTAAGTCTTAAATAATTAGTGATGCAATTGATTTTCGTAGCTCGGTCACGTGAAGTAAATGACTGCGATTGTGAATTATAAATAAGAAATCTTTTGTGTATACATTCTTGACGTACGTATTTGAAGACGATAAAAAAAATATAACAGTAGGCAGTATACTGCAAGTTAATCATCTCATAACTACAGATGAAAAATTACACTGTTGTAGAAATATACACATAATCTGTTCAGATGCAGGAGACAAAATAATACTACAAGCATATTTTCTCAAATCTACTTAGCATACAGAAAAATTAAAACTCATAACCGTATATCATATTATCTAACTAACGATATATATATATATATATATATATATATATATATATATATATATATATAGATATAGATATAGATATAGATATATATATATATATATTGACAGAAGCTTCGCTGAATAAATCAGGTACTCCACATATCATAAAAAGAAAATTATCCATGGCTCAGTTAATTTTCAGCATCTTAATGTCTTTTTAACTATCTTAATAATATTTATTTTAATTAGAGCTACATTCAAAACTGTCTCAACTCAACTCATTTCCTTTAAAACTTCAACCTTAAAACATAAGCAAGAATACAGAGCCGTTTAAACGCATCTGTCTTATAAATCACAAATCCATTGATAACAAGATGCACTTAAAGGTGAAAACCAAGAAGTAACTGTTATCCATGACATAGTGCGTTTTCAAGAAACACGAGGTACATATGTAGGTATTTAGCTGACCTTGGCCTTTCCGAATCCATGTATATAACAGCCAAACTAATAAACTAATATCAGTTGGATGAGACTAGAACAACTCAGCTCAAATAAACACTTAGGGAGTCAATAACGTTGTTACGCCTCGTGACCATTACGTAAAAACAACTGATAACATTACTGTTAGCGAAACTATCTCAGAAAAGAATGGTTGTATCATTCATTCTCAATCCAGGATACTGAACCGATGGGCAGAACACTTTAGGGATCAGTTCAACTGGCTTTCAGCCACACTCCGGTTACCCACGATCGCAAGTCATCCTGAATGGCAAATCGATGTAAGTCCCCCGACTTTTTATGAAGTTGAAAGAACTGTACGAAATCTAAAGCGAGGTAGAGCAACAGGTCCTGATAGGCTGACTCCTGAGATTTTTAAGGATGGTGGTCCAGTTTTAGCAGCTAGGATGACTGAGATCATAGGTAGAATCTGGGAACTAGGCGTAATACCATCTGACTGGTCTCAATCACTGATTGTCCCAGTCTACAAAAAACTGAAAAAGTCTTCTTATGTCAATCACAGGGGAATCAGTCTAACTAATATAGTTTCGAGATTGTTAGCCTCCATTATACTTAGACGCCTAACCATAGCTCGTGAAGAGCAGACTAGAGAAAACCAGGCTAGTTTTCGATCTGCACGTAGCTGTATAGACCACGTCTTCACTCTACGACAGGTCCTGAAACACACAAACACATTTAGGCGTTCGACAATAGTTGCATTCCTGAACCTAAAAGCGCCATTTGACTCAGTGGATTGTGAGGTTCTGTGGCAGTGTCTGTCATTGAAAGGTGTACCAGAGAAGTACATTAACCTTATACAAGCTCTCTACTCGAGCACCACTGGTCAGCTGAGAGCTTATGGCGAACTGTTATTGGAATTATTCACTTCAAGTGGCGTCCGTCAGGGCTGTCGACTCTCTCCATTCTTGTTTAACTTTGTCGTAGACATCCTTTTAGAGTTCACATTATCCTCGTCAGATTTTTCACGGTAGACCTTCTTCCAGGAGGATCGCTTATTGACCTAGAATATGCCGATGACATAGTCCTATTCGGTGAAGACGCTGACATAATGCAGTCTTCTGACTACCTAAGTAACAATCCAAGCATGTTTGGGATGCGGTTCTCACCCTCGAAATTCAAAATCTTGCTTTAAGATTGGCTTGCAACTTCACCCAAACTAGTGGTAGGGAGTGAAGTAGTCGGGCGTGTTGACCGCTTCACTTATCTGGGGAGTCTCATCAGTGCTGGTGGCCTGGTGACTGATGAAATCTCTGCAAGGATACAGAAAGCTCGACTGGCTTCTTCCAACTTGCGTCACTTATGGCGTAGACGTGATATCCGTTTGCTGACTAAAGGACGAGTGTACTGCACAGTAGTTCGCTCCGTCTTACTTTACGGATACGAAAAGAAGATATTCGTAGATTACTGGTTTTCGATCATAGGTGTCATCGAAGCATTGCTCATGTATCGTGGGACAATCGAGTAAGCAATACTGCCATTAGGAAACGAGTACTAGGTAAGGATGGCAGATCAATTGGTGAAGTATTGAAACTTCATCAGTTGAGGTGGTTGGGACATGTGCTGCGTATGCCTAACCACCAACTGCCTCGTTGAGCTATATTTTGCGGTGTAGGAGTAGGCTGGGAGAAAGCTAGGGGCGGACAAACCAAAACATGGCAGAAATCCATAAAGTAACTGACTAGTAAACTGATTCATGTCGGTAGGTGTCGACTACCTGGTTGGGGTCCGTGAGATGATAATAATCGATGGTTAGAGACCCTGAATGACACGGCTCAAAAACGTTTCCAATGGCGCAGGTGCATTTACGCTTTGTGTTCTATGAAATTCTAACCTTCTGAATTCTTCATCATCTCTATCTTTCTCTTTCTAAATTTACCTCACGGAATCATACTTCTTGAACAATATCTTGGAACCCTAATTTTCACAATTAGCAGTAATACCTCAACTATCTCTTCCACTATGGGATTTGAATTGACAATTGCGTCTCTGTGCTGACGTGGTATGGCAACATGAACTGATGTACTTACGTACGAAGTTCTACGTTGTAACTGACTGACTGCATGAGTGCTATTGTTCTAAGATACAATGCAAACAACGGAGTGGTATTTATAGGAGGAACTAGGTGTCCATATGTACGAAATAATCTACATAGAGGAGGTGCTGAGGATATTGTCCAGAATGGCAATGAAAGCATAGATATTAAACCATCTAACTGGGAGAAAACAATGTCATAATGAACAAATAGTTAATCAGGAATTATAATCAAATATAAATATATATAACTATACAGAAAAATATTAGATGGTACTTACTTCGGTCTAAGACAAGCTGTTTTTTCATATATGTTTTTTAACGCCTCTGGAGTGTTGGCATAAAACGGAGCCTTACCAGTTAAACACTGATAAACAATTATGCCCATACTCCAAATATCTGCTACAGCATCATATTTACGACACATCAGTACTTCAGGAGCCTAATTTGGACGAAAAACATTAGAAGGTAATTGTAAAGGTTATTAAAGGAGAATATATTATTTCGGTGTTGGATAAATTAATTACTGTGGTATGGCAACCTGAACTGATGTAAGTACATAAAAAGCTCTACGTTGTAACTCACTGACTGACTGGTTGGATAAATTAATTTGATGGGTACCTGAATTCGGTATCCTTGCAAAAAGTACGATGGCTTGTTAGTCAGTACTATACATTATGTGTTACAGATGATGGAAATGTAGAAAATACAAACAAATTCCTGTGTATATATTACGAGAATTAGTAAGTCGTTAACTAGCATTCCCAATTTCAGCACATAAATTAGCCCGAAAACCAGGTAAGATGCTTAAAAGTGGAACATCCTAATCAATGATACTTGGACAGAATTTTGCAGCAACATGTAGTGATAACAAAAATGGAATCAATAAGTAACAGTGCATGGAGGTCATACAATTCTGCCTGGAGCCCAAATGAGGTTACTGGGGGGTCCTCATCCCGAATAAAAGAGAGCTAAAATAAAAGAGCTAACGAGAAGAAATATTTCAAACTATTAAACCCTAACTTCGGAGCTAGGTCTTATTTCAGCAGAGTTATGAAGTCTCATGATGAAAGCAGAGTTTCTTCGGAAGTCACGACGTCGATGCCCATTTTCACAAGCAGAGAAACCATTCTTTTAGGTAAATGGAATGTTTTTACATAGTAGGAGACCGAACGAGCCATTAAAGTTACTGAGGAAACTAAAATATACAACCTGGTGGTGCTTGGAATCAATGAAACACATTGGACGCGGGTTGGACAGAAAATACTAGCTTCATGAGAGACGCTGTTATACTCCGATCGCGAAGAAAAAAAGGCCTCAAATACAAAAATAGTTGCACTGATGCCGTCCAAACAAGCACAAAAAGCACTCATAGGATGGGAATCTCATGGACCCGGAATCATCAAAACATCCTTCAAAACTAAGAAAGAGGGGATAACAACAAATGTTATCCAGTGCTTTGCAACTATCAACGAGGACGTTCAAGTTCAATTATATCAGAGACTACAGTCAATCCTAGGGAAATTATCAAGAAAGGACATGACCCAAATGCCACGGTGAGAATGGAAAACACTGAATATGAAGATCATGGGATGACATGGACTGAGAGAAAGGAAAAAAATGGTGAGAGATTCGCAAACCAATGTGCCTTCAACAAACTGGTTATTGGTGGAACCATATTCCCACAGAAACGCATACAGAAAACTACATGTATTTCACCGGGTCACGCTACATAGAACCAAATCGATTATATTTGCATCGATAAGAGGCTCAGAAGGACCATAGAGGACGTAAGAACCAAGCGAGGAGCTGACATAACTTCAGATCACTACTCGCTGTTCGCCAAAATAAAACTGAAACTCGAGAAGCACTGGACAGCTGAACGAGCAACATCACAAGAGTTTATTACGGCCTTTCTTGGGGATACTGGCAAACTCAACCACTTCAAGATAGCGCTCAGCAATAGGTTCCAGGCCTTTCACGATCTACTTAGTGGAGATGCAACTACAACGTAGAACTTCGCACGTACGTACATCAGTTCAAGTTGCCATACCACATTAGCACAGAAATCGAATTGTCAAATCAAATCCCTTAGTGGCAGATTTAGTAGAATTATTAGCGGAAATAAAGATTCGAGTCCATAGATATTACTCAAGAAGTATTTTTCAGTGAAATAAACTAAAAAAAGATACCGACCAAACCGCGACACTACGAGTAATTGTGGAGCAATTAATTGAATGGAATTTACCACTATACACCAACTTTATTGACTACGAGAGAGTATTTGACAGCAGAGACAGACGACACTATGGAGGTATTTCGAGACTACAGTGTACCTGAGAAGCGAGTTAAAATCATACGGAATTCATATGGCGGATTAAACTGCAAGATCGTGAATAGAGGGCAGGCTAAAGACTCGTTAGAAATGAAGATTGGTGTCAGACGAGGTTGCTTACTCTCACCCATTTTCTTTCTGATGGCTGACTGGATTATGAAAACGTTAGCATCTCAGAGGAGGCAAGGGATTCAGTGTACAGCTAGAATGCAGCTGAACGATTTAGACTTCGCAGATGATCCAGCTCTTCTATCCCACCTACAACCAGATATCCAGGTGAAGGAGGCTAATGTAGAGACAGTCTCTGCAGCAGTATGTCTCGAGATACACATGGGAGAAATTAAAATCCTTAGATACAACACAGAATGCACCAACCAAACCACACTTGGCGGAGAAGCTTTGGAAGATGTAGAAACCTTTACATATCCAGGAAGCATCATTGATAAACAAGGTGAGTTGGATGTCAATGTGAAGGCGTGGATTAGCAAAGCGAAGGGAACACTCCAACAATTGAACAACATCTGGAACTGAAAGCAACTGCCAACCAGCATCAGTGTCAGAATTTTCAATACGAAGGTCAAAACCATTCTACTGTATGGGGCGGAAACTTGGAGAACCACGAAAGCCATCATCCACAAGATACAAGTATTTATTAATAGTTGTCTACACATGATATTTCGAATCCACTGGCCAGATACCACCGACAACAAAGTAGATTTCAGCAGCGGAAGAAATTATGAAAAAGAGGTGGATGTGGATAGGACACACATTGAGGAAATCACCCAACTGGGTCACAAGACAACCCCTCGTCACTTCAAATCCCCAAGGTCAAAGGAAGAGAGGAAGATCCGAGAACACCTTACGCCGAGAACTGGAAGCAGACATGAAAAGAATGAACAACAATTGGGTAGAACTGGAAAGGAAGGCCTGGGCCAGAGCAGGTTGGAGAATGCTGGTCAGCAGCTTATGCTCCATTAAGGGTAACCGGAGTAAGTAAGTAATGATGGTCGAATGTATATGAACATAACCAGAAACAAATGAAACAAAATATTTGATTTCACAGAGAGACAGCATGTAGTGATTAATGCCAAGAGAGCGTTATTTGCAAATAAAATATCATCAGCAGTCGGAAAGAAACTCACCATGTACATAGGTGATCCACACATGGTTACTGCCATCATCCCATCTTGTAAAAACCTGGCAAAACCAAAGTCAGCTGAAATAAAATGATAAATCATGAATAATAACTGATCGAGTTTTTATAGTTATGAAAAAGTGTGAAAAAGATCAGCATGTAAAGGTACAATTGACTGCCACTATACACCAATAAACCCAGATAATAAAAACCTGTTGCGTACCAATAAAGGTATCAAGCAGTAAGTAATGAAAATTTTAAAAAAATGTACACTCAGTATCATTCTGATTTTTCAATGCAGATTGTAGTGCCTTTAAAATATCTGAATATACCTAACATACAGAAACGACAATAAGCATTTAGAAGATTTTAAACGGATTGACATCACTGTAATGGAAAAATAATTATATTTGTGTAACACTAAAATGTTGCAATAAGGTACTTTAGGTGAATAATAAATTTAGCATTGGTGCGTTTCAAAACGAAGATATGAAAAAGGTGATCTTTTAAAAACTTATAATCATAACTAATAACTATTAGTAATGAAATCCAGGACGTGCGTTTGGGACTCGTTAGCTGGGTGCACCTCCTATCGCTGCTAGTAATGCTCGTGACTTAACTTCAAACCGCAGAAGGTACACCTATGCCATAGTAACTGATTAGTCGCAGTCCTAAACACCAGTGGGGAAATTCAAACTACTAATTCAAATGAACATAATTATTAATGTCTAGAAACTTAGAAAGTTGTCTTGCTATTCTAGTTTGGTGTTAATTTAAAACTCAACATTTGGTTTAACTTGCGCCTTAAATATATATATATATATATATATATATATATATATATATATATACAGAGGGAGAGAGTAGAGATATGGTATAGGGCATCTCGTAATAGTTAGGTACAAGAAGCTTACAAAAGCAGAGTAAACTAACTTTGTTTGTTAATTGTAAGTTAGCGGCTGGAGGTAGTAGAAAAGGAACCCTGAACCTTCGGCACTCGTTTGTTAGGTGCCCTTGTTTTCTTGAAAGAGCTGATGCTCATTGGTAAATTCGGTCCAGTGCCACAGATGTGCAAGCACAACAATTAGTTTCGTCAAGATTACAGATACGACCTGCTAATGAGTGCCGAATATCATGAAACCTGAGGTCCAAGGTTTCCTGTCGACTGCCCCTAACCACCACCCAAAAAGTAGAAAATAAATTTCAACATAGTGCACACGATGTTAAGTCACCTTGATTAGTGGCTGAATTGCAACTTCATTGATCAGCACTGAGGACTTGAATTGTATGGCACTGGTTACTAACCAGTGACCGATCAGTTGTAAATTTTCTGCCTTTATTATGCTGTGCAGAATCAATATCTCCATATTGTAATACTGTTTCTCTACATTCTCATTTTTTGTGAGCTATCAGTTACTTGCTTTTTGCAACTCAAGGGAATTCCCTGACATCCACTACTCTAAATATATTCTGGATTCGATGTGAATGTCCCATATATATATATATATATTTATTATCAACGAAATAGTAATTTTCTCATCGTGCTAGCTTACTTTTGGCTTTTTATGATGCTCAGACGAGAATTAAGTTAAAGAAATAAATGTTTTGGTGTACGCTCGGTAAGAGAGTATATTTCAACAACTAATATTTTTAAGATCACAGACGTAACTATCTGCAGCACCAGAAGATGGTGAATTAACGGAAATTCAGAACCAAATAGGAGTAAGAAAAAACAAACCGTTATGTTTAATTCAGACATTTATACCCGGCGACAAGATTAGAAAGGTTTACTTCATTACCGTTGTGCAAAAAAATATAGAAAGCCTATGGAACGAAACATGAAAATGACTGAATTTCCATCAAATTTATACATTTATTTAAATTAACTAAAATTTCGTCCTATATATGTACGAATTTCCACTTAAACTGAAAACATGAATTAAATTTGAATATCTTTTCTGGTGTTCATGTCAGGTCAATTTTTCGTTCAACATTTTTTCTGGTATATAAGCATGTACGAAGATAACTACTGTTCGACCGTAGAGTCTCACAATTTATTGTTTACTAAGTTTAATAAGAGATCTGCTATCTTTTATACCAACATATTTGATCGTTTTGGCACAATTAAGGCACCTTGATATGGGTCACTAAAAAACCAAACATAATTTAGGGAATAAAGTTCTTAAACAACAAGAACGAATGCTGAGCTTTAGCGAAATTTGATTCCCTTAGATTTCAGCAGAAAGTACTTTGAGAATAGTTAGTGAAGTAGATCACCCAATAAGATGAGATAATATGCCAAACATCTGGAGCGAACTGATATTAGAATAATGTCTATTTCAAAGGTTAAACAATATCCTTACGAACCATGAAATTTATATTATGTTAGTTAATAATAAACAGCGTAGAGCTTATGACAAATCTCCACCAATAAAAATCGTCATACCATATCAAAAGAACGAGAGCAAATTAACACAATGTAAATTAAAATAGTAGTAATATCTATGATACTAAAACATAGCAAGCACAAGTATTATGGCTCAAAAAGAAATGAAACTGACGGATGATATGTTTGACAAAACGTTAAATAATAGGTACTTAGCAGAGATGGAAAAGAACGCACTGGCGTCATTGCGACCAGTTTTAAACCACATGACCCGAAGTCCCCAATGATCTATCACGACAACCATGTAGACTTCAACCAGAATATTTGAAAATACTGACGCAGATCAGAACAACATATACTGAATTCACTGATCGACGGTACATTTTGATATGTCCTGTTATAGTTCTCTTTTAGCCTCCTGTTAAGACACTCAGAGTTGCATGTCAGGGTAAGGTGGTGGTTGGAAATATATGATGCCTGACCAACACAGAAGACTACTTATTCCATCAAGCGATTTTGTCTTTATCTACCATACACCTAGATTTGGAAGTTTACTCAGTTGTTTCAACATACACGACAAATACCTTAAAGACATCAATGATCAAATACTAGCAACCTACGCATTCCCTATGATTTTAAGTCATGTTTTAAGACTGAAAATTAAAACAAATAACACTGACATGCAATATACCTGCACTTTGACAGACAGGTGAACATCTTGCCTACTCCATGAGTTATGCAAAATGATGTAAGCCACACAACAATTCATGGGCTATCATTTCATTAACATTAATCAAAATTCGATGATAAGAGAATTCTTCACTGCATTTATTTACTTAACTGCAATGTTCAAACTGGGAATTGATACGGTTTGGCCTTAAATTAATATTTTGCACTTAGCGAGAAAGGTATAGATGACATTTTGGCATTTTACTCATGCGATTGAAAAGAGTGAACCTTGTTAGTATTTTCAGAGAAATGAACAATCTTCCGCATACTCTGGGTAAGTAAGTTTATAGAAACAGAAATGATATGAATTATTCACATAGACTGTCAAACAATGAATACAAAATAAACCCACGAAAATTAAAAAACCTTCAATTATAAGTCTAAGAATACTACTTTCCACATAATTAGTATTACTATTACTTGGTGCAGAAACGCATTCATATTGGCACTGAATTCTGTTTTATTTGTTGTAAAACGTAGCTGTTCATGAGGAACTTGAAAAAGCCACTAAAATAATAATCCATGAGGGTAACTTATCTACTAGTACATGTGATCTAGCAATAGTTATACAAGAAGCTCGGTAGTGAACAGGTTCAACAAGTTTACTCCATAACTAGTTACTGCGCAGACTACCTGCCAAGGTTTATACTTTAAGAAGTCAAAAACACCAAGTAATTTATACAATAACGAAGCTTTTGAAATACACTGATCACCGTTCATGTATTTTTGTTATACTGTCATTAGTAGAGGCAACATATAAGTGAAATCACAGTATATATTGTATTCGGGATAGAAATTGGTATAAGATTTATCAAAGGCATGTAAAACTTTAGTTGAGAGATTAACTCAGTTTATAACTGAACGAGATTCTTACCTAACTTGAAAGATAGAAGATAACCAGGAATAGAAGTGACATGGTGACCACAATCCCTGCAATGACTCAACAAAATATTGCCTGGTTTTAAGTCTCTATGCATAAAACCTTTTCTATTCATGGCATCCATGGCCGAGCCAATTTGTATTAGGAAATGACGAATTGTATCCTCAGGCAGAGTACGCTTAGCTAAAAAATTAAACTGAGGATATGAGTGTACCTTGTAAATATTCAGAAAGATCGCCAGCATTGCAGTACTCCATCACCAGATAGACCCCATTACTAGATATCTAGGATAACAAAAGATTATTAAGGATCAAGACGTACGTTATGATCATATAGTCGGACGATATTTTCGTGGTTGAGGTCCTTAATATGATGTACAGTGGTAGATGTTAACTCACCTTCAAAACACATATTTCTTTACTAAGAAGCGTCTTTGATTTAAGGACATTTTGGTCCTTTAACATGATTTTTATTGCTACAGGTTCATCTGGATTCTTAAAAGAAGAATAATAATAATTTTACTTATCCTACATTTTTAACTCTCCCTTTATAAACAATTGCGAATGCCCCATTACCCAAAACATCAGCTGGATTGTATTCATACGATCCCAAACTGATCATATTTAGGGCTGATGAATTTAATTAGATGAAGCTTAGAACACAAATAATATACAGTGTGGCTGTGTTTTATGTACTTTGACTTTCAAAACATCGAATCGATTGATAAACCCCGACAATTAATTTGCAATAATATCAATAACAAATAACACATCTTATTATTGCACCCTGCAGTTCGTTATCTCCGCCAGAGGTCAGTGTCAGCTGATGACCAAAGACTTCGAAACTGGCACTTCGCACAACATGCCAATATCCAATATCCAATATCTAACCCAATATCGTTTTCACGAGGTAGTATAAATCTATTGATTTCTTTGCGCTCGATTATTGTTCCTTCGATACGGTCCCAGATGTTTGATAGTGTCCAATGAATGAAGGTCTAGCCATTCGACTGTTTAATTATAGTCAGTTGGTAGTTGGCTGTGAGTTTGTATGTCCCATGATTTCAATGAATACTTCTGTTTCAGAGCAGTAGGGTTTCTGAATACCAGCAGCTATCACATTACCAGACCAGAGATCAGTTAGTTGCAATGTGAAGAGTAATAAGGATAAAATTCTAGTGCTAATAAGAAGAGGACTTCAGGACTATGTAAATACATAGACAATTAAGTTTATTTATTGGCAGTAAAGATTGTGACAGATGAACGAAGTGTAAGCAGGGGGGAGGAAAGAGAGATAATAGGTGAGACAGAATAAGTTAGTGATCTGAGGATATGGCATTAATAACAACTAGCAGGTCTCAAGACATGCATCACACAGAGCTTGTCCACAAGGGAGACGATAATCCATATGTGAGTACGTTTCTATCAAGTCTCTTCAAAAAGCTGCCCAACTGAGGGGCTGTGGCAACCTCAGCTGGGACAGCATTCCAAGTTGCTACTACTCTTAATGAGAAGAAGTGTCCACAAACCTGAGTATTCGCTCTCTGATGCGAAATTTTTCGAGAGGAGTGGTAGTGATGCATCTGTAAGATGCTCACGTTGGGATGGTTTGGCGTGCTTTATATGTTGTACGCCATAATCAGATCACCTCTGATTTTCCTTTACCCCACTGGGAATAATCCCAAGTGCTGTAATCTATCTTTGTAAGGTTTGTTCTTCAACCCTATCGTTGCTCGTTTCTGAATTAGATCCAGGAGATTTATGTCTTTTTGAGGAGAGGAAGTGAAAAAACATTATAAACTTTAAGGTGTAGCCAAGTGTACGTTTCGAAAGGAGCTAAGAAGAATTGTGTGGTAACTGCACCGAGTCGTCTTCACAAAGAGTGAGGAGTTACGCTAGCTTTGGCTGCACCCCCCATGCAGCTTGAAATGGTAGTCAGGCTCTTCGTGGTTATTATACCGAGACCGCGGTCTGAAGTGACATCAGGGAGCGGACTAGCATTGAGGACGTACGTTGTTTGTGCCATGTGGAGCGGAATTTCCATGACGTGACATTGCAACAGGTCAAGTTTTGAGTCGCAGTACCCTGCCCACTCCTCTATTGCCGAAAGGTCTTTCCAAAGCTCGGTTGAATCCTTTTCGCCTCTGATAGACCACTAGATCTTCACTTCGTCTAAATAGATCATTGTCGCTGACCTGATTTTATCTAACAAGTCACTGATAAATATTAGCAGGGTTGAACTTAAGATGATCTCCAGTGAAACATCTGACGTTCAGATTCGCCAGTCAACATGCACCCTGTACATCTTGGTGCGAAACTTCCTGTTTTCGAGGTAGTTACTGAGCCAAGACAAGAGTTGATCAGTCAAGCCCGTCTTTGCGACCCTCGCAATTAGGAGTACGAAAGCTCTTGAGAGGTCAAGAAATATTGTGTGGATAAGTATTTTTGTTAGTCCTAGTAAGCTGACGAATTTTTTCATGCCTACCACCAGCCTTCCTCAATCCTGTATTCATTTTCTTAGACTATGTTGCTTTTCATTCGAACTCCTTTATTTATACATTCACTAGTCCTACCATTAACGTCGACAGCAGCGAAAGTCGTGTGGCTGATCTGTAACAGAATGTATCCTTTCTGTCTACTCCTTTGAAGACCTGCAAGAGTGTATCCTGTTCGCATTCTTTAGGAGGTTTGTATAATCCCCCTGAATGTCTAAACAGGTCACATATATATGAACTGAGGGCTTCCGCACAGTGTTTCAAGAGTAGGTGATTGCTGTTGTCAGATTCTCGTGACTCTCCTGGAAGCGGGTATTTAAGTTGTCTTAGCATATAGCTAGAAGTCATTCAGGTATTCCTCAGACCATCAAATTCGACTAAACTTGAGTAGTACTCTGAGCTTGTAGGTGATTAGTCAGAATGGTTGGTGAAGACAGCAATTATCCATCTGTAAGTCGATAAGATCTTCACCATTTGGACCTTTGAGAACACAAACATCCTGGTATGTAGGTTTTCTTCTAGTCATGAAACTAAACAGATATCTTGGTTCTGCCTTTGTTTTGACAGTTGACTTCGTCTGGAAGTGTCTTTTATCGCTTCGAACTTTAACAATGCATCTATTTCACAGTGCCAACTAAGAACTACTGTCATAATCTTCTGGTGATGTTCCCATAGCCGTACGCGGTATCGATTCCTTGCAGCTCTGCGATTTGCTATTCGATTCACGTAGTCTGCAGTTAATCGATACTTCGTCGAATATCAAATCTATCGTTTTTAACGCGCAAACAGACAGGTACCGAATCACCGATATATATATTTTGTATTACTATTTATTTCCTGTTATATTTGATAAATACCCCAAAGTAACGAAACCGAGGAGATTCAACTGGTGATTATTTATGTGGTAAGCCACATCGTCACCTGCAGACCCCCAGTCACGGCAAAACCTCGCCGACTGGCACTGGACCAATTAGTTTTCACTAAGCGTGAGTTTGACAGTTTACTTGCTATATGTTTTACTTCGCCTTTCTCACAGTCCCTAAGACTCCTCTCTCCACTCGGTTTACAGAAAGATGGCATTTGTTGGAGACGACACGGCGATTACGGAGTAGCAACGGCAGATATCCAATCTTCCGCCCCCGAACTTGTATATGGCACGACACTGCATCTGCCTGGGGAATTTTTCACATCACGGAGCAGCGATTTTAGGCATATCAGATAACGTCCGACGACTATCTGCGATTACTGCCTACGGTGTGAACTCGAATATAACATCGATAGGTCGCTCTATCTCGAGAGTTATATACCTGTCCATATGTAGCTTCGGTACGCAACAGCCTTAAGAAGGATCTTTTCACGTAATCTCTCGTCACAAAAAGACCTTCAAGGTTGATAGTCACAGTCAGTATTGATTGTCTCATACCGGCACACGTCAATGACAGTGCCTTATCCGAAAAATCGAGACCCAGTGCTAGACCCATAAACTTACTAGCGAGATCCCTACATCTACTTCGGACCCCACGCTAGAAATATCAGAGACCTCATTCTGAAGTCCCAGTCAACAGAACTCGTCAACTGTCCTATCTACGGATGAGACTCCGGCCTCACGTCCAGATCAGCCGACCACGGATAAGACTGACCGCTCACGGGTTACGCACGAGACTACCGTCTTGCGTTCCGGTCGCCGCGTGCGCCTACCTGTACTCAGGCGACAACGGATAAGCTTAAAGACACTATCCCGACCGTAGCTGCTACCTTGTCGTGATGGTCTAGCTTGCCTATCGTGATGACCCAACCGAGCTACATTGGCTGGAACTTGTGTTCCTGAAGGTTCTACCATGTCAGGCAGGTCGATTGGAGAACGATGAGACTAAAAACAACTACTCAAGGTCTGAGGGCGAAGTCGTACTACTGACTGTAGAGAGGTTTGACAGCAATAAGGTGTTCCCTTCCGACAACTAGCACCTGCAGCGATGCTGATGGCGACCGTCTGTTGCAAGTATGCTCAGACAGCCGCTTACTTCCAGCAAACACTAACTTTAGGCATAAGGAAAAACACCTTTTAACCCGGCGACCCCTAAAGTCGTCTCAGCGTTCGACCTAACTAGATCACATTACCATTAGCCATCGATGGAGAGGTTCGATAGACGACTGTCGCTCGTTCTAGGGCACATTTTAGATTCAGATCATGCCCTAGTGCGAGCAAGTATTTGTTTGAGGCTTACTGGAGATAGGAAAGACACCGTAAGAAAGCCTCTTAGGGCTTTACTTAATGATAATCAAACTAAGAAAATATTTCAGGAGGAACTAGAAAGAGAGTTAGGCGACCATGCAAGTGATCCTCATCCGGAGGCAGGTTGGAATGATATCAAGAAGGCTGTGGAAACAGCAGTGATATCTGCTAGGACGGTAAACAATGAGGCTAGGATGAAGCAGTGGATTTCAGCCGCAACCACCAAACTTATGGATGCTCGAAAAGGCATCTCACATGACTCTGAACATGATGATGAGCGTAGTCAGCTTAGGCGCAGACTGATAAAAAGCCTACGTAACGACCGCGAACAGTGGTGGGTGGCGAAAGCAAAAGCGATGGAAAAGGCAGAAGCGATAGGCAACACCAGACAACTTTTCCGCCTGATCAAAGAAACCGGTATCCAGGAGATTGGACCGATGGGCAGAACACTTTAGGGATCAGTTCAACTGGTCTTCAAACACACTTCGATTGCCCACGATCCCCAGTCATCCTGAATGGCAAATCGATTTAAGTCCTCCCAGTCTACATGAAGTTGAGAAAGCTATAGGAAATCTAAAGGGAGGTAGAGCATCAGGTCCTGATAGGCCTACCCCTGAGATGTTTAAGGATGGTGGTCCAGTTTTAACAGTTAGGCTGACCGAGATCCTAGGTAGAATCTGGGAACTGGACGTAATCCCATTTGACTAGTCTCATTCGCTAATTGTCCCAATCTACAAGAAACGGAAAAAGTCTTCTTGTGTCGATCACAGGGGAATAAGTCTAACTAATATAGTTTCTAAATTGTTAGCCTCCATTATCCTTAGACGCCTAACCATAGCTCGTGAAGATCAGACTAGAGAAAACCAGGCTAGTTTTCGATCTGGACGTGGCTGTATAGACCACGTCTTCACTTTACGACAGTTCCTGGAACACAGAAACACATTTAGGCGTCCGACAATAGTTGTGTTCCTGAACCTAAAAGCGGTATTTGACTCTGTGGATTGTGATGTTCTGTGGCACTGTCTGTCATTGAAAGGTGTACCAAATAAGTACATTAACCTTATACAAGCTCTCTACTCGAACACCACTGGTCAGCTGAGAGCTTATGGCGAACTGTCGATGGAATTCTCTACATCAAGTGGTGTCCGTCAGGGATGTCCACTTTCTCGATTCTTGTTTCACTTTATCGTAGACATACTCTTAGAGTTAACATAATCCTCGTCAGATTTTTCACGGGCAGACCTTCTGCCTGGAGGATCGCTTATTTAATTAGAATATGCCGATGACATAGTCCTGTTCCGTGAAGACGCTGACATGATATATAGTCTTATGACTACCATAAGCAACAATGTAAACATGTTCGGGATGAGGTTTGCCCCCTCTCCCCCCCCGAAATGCAAAATGTTGCTTGAAGACTGGGTTGCTTCGCACCTGAACCAGCGATATGGAGTGAAGTAGTCGGGCGTGTTGATCACTTCACTTATCTCGGCGGTCGCATCAGTGCTGATGGTCTGATGACTCAATAATATCTCTTAATCCTGACCTCTCCGACTACTGCCTATACCTGTACGACACTTGGATTTGAATCGACAATTACATCTCTGTGCTCATGTGGTATGGCAACATGAACTTATGTACGTACATACGAAGTACTACGTTGCAATTGATTGGTAGGACACTATCCTTATACTACATTTGTGCTACACTTTCGTTTTTTTATCCTGAGCCGACGTCTACGACCATCGCCTCGTTGGTACCGTCGACTTCAGTCAGTCCTGGCGAAAACTGGCCTGATCACCCACGCTCTTTTCAATGCACTCAGTCGATGTTCTGGTTCCGAATGTATCCGTCATACGTGTGGTTACGAACTTGGTCGTTTCTTGCTCCTTTTCTCAGTCCGGTTCCGTCCAACGTCTGCAGCTTATTCTGGTCCGAACCCCTAAGAACTCAATCCTCAGACACTGGATACGAGCCACGCTGGTGTGGCATTCCAACTAGAGCAAAAAACCTGGCACGTTGCTACTGGTACAGTTCAACGTAAAAGACTTTCGATGACAACTCAAGCTTCATTGGTCGCTTCCTGTTCGTCAACCCTTCCGCACTACAATCGCACGATGGATGACCAGTACGAAGCCACTACGTACCGAAAGTGTGAACCCTTTCTAGGTGGGCTGATGTAGTGGTACACTCCTACGAAGAAAACGAGATTGATGAAAAATAAACATTTACTATCGTACTCGTTTTGTTTAACTGTGCCAAGAACACTCTCTTGAGCGCAACGTTCTTTTTCGCGTTGATGCCATGTTTCATGAATTGCTGCTCGATGCAATACCAACTTTCTCCTCCAAATAAATATTCAACCCTGGGTTTATTTCTATAATTTGTGACGGGATAGTAACGAGTATTTAGTGGTGATCATAGTCAATCTCGACCTGATCACCACTAAACGGGTATGAGAGCAGATGCCACTTCACGGTTGCCCATACCGTGGGTGTAGATTAGTTTTGGTCTGTATCACATTCCGATCAAGAATACCCAAAGCCGAGTCAAACCAGAAGTTAAGAATGAGGGAGATCGAATATTTCACGGATGTTGGGATGGAGTCGACTATGCTTGCTAGTAGATGTGAGAGGCGTTCTACAGCGTTGGGATATTCATCAAACATCCTAAGAGAATTATTTTTGTAAGTCTAATTCCATTGGTCAATATTATGGTCGTCCTAGCTATCGACTGTTTCCTATTGGTCGTACTAACTGTCAATGTTACAGACTTCAATGCTGTTTCCTATTCGACCTAACTGTATTAATACACATTATCTGTAACGTTTTATGACCCGGACCGGTAGTCCGGGATCCTGATTCTCTTCTCAAATCGGACCTCGTACTTCCTGTATGTTTCTACAATACAGGCTCTACGTCATATCGAGTCTTTTTATTTTACTAAATGGGGGTGTCGTGTCACCAGATCCTCGCTCTCGTTTTCCGGCTAGGGTGAACTCGTGATAGTTCAAGCATATCAACTGACGTGTTTACGTGCGTGCGTAAAAGTAGTTATCACAGTATTTGCATTTCTAAACATGATGCACACGTTGCGTACTGGCTGCATTCTTACGAGCAGTATATTGAGCTGTTTTAATCAGAAACGTGGATACATCTCTGAAACGAGAGATGGTTTACAGCTTCGACAATTGCATCTACAAGGTACAATGTGATCGTTCGTGGATTTGTACGTGAATAATAGCAGTGATAAGTAATTGAAACCTAAACATGTAACAGACGACACAATAAACAGTTCCCATAGAAGATTCATGACTTCCATACATTTTAGGTGGGTACTGTATGAGCCATAAAGTCACACGAGTTCCGTTCGCATATGGCCACGTCAAATCCGAGTGTATAATTAGTCGATGATGCAACCTAGTACAAAACCCATTCATTCTGAAGTGCTCACATCAGAGTGGTAAAACTAAGAAACGAAGCATCCTATTCGAAACGTATTGCAGGTCTCCGATGCGGTGTTTAAAATTCTTTCATGAAGTAATTATTAATACACAGACAGTATAAAAACTTTCGAACAGATCAATGATCGGCGATTAGCCGACAATTATTCAATAATTGAACAATGAAATTCAACGACCATTGTGGTACGGACTATCATAATCACTTCTTCCAAAGATTTTAAACGAAGTGGCTCCAGATTGGAGAAAATCATATTGCTTATCATACTGCAGTGAAATATCAAACACCCTATGTCACTTAACAAACTATATGTTAACAGCAAACTACCACAGTCACTTAAAAACAAAATATAACGAAACAGTATTACGTCAGAGATAATTAGGAATCTGAAATACATTGAAAGCCATTTGTTTTATTTAAGAATTCTAAAAGAATATGTAGTCACAGAAAATTCAAGTTACAGAAACTCAACTCAGAATAAACTGAGCAATATTATTGTTAGGTACATAATGATCGTAAGATCAAATGGATTCAGCATCAGGTCTAGAGTTAGACTGTGAAGCGCGGTCCCCAGATGAGGATTCAAGATGTTCCAGTCTACGTTTACGAAGTTCCGTTAGTTCAGAATTTTCTAGATGCAACAATACAAATTTCGAGAAAAGAACAAAATAAATAAGTTCAGGTCAGGTAGCAATTTAATTTATAGGTCATACTTCAATACACATGATAGGTACTTAAATCAAATATAATAGTGGTAAGTTGGAATTCGTGTGCAATCCTTGACAATATATAAAATACAGACTAAGCTCTATTGAAGTAAACTATACATTCATATTTAGTTTAAGCCTTTGCTTGTTTGCATGGATACTATATACATACGTCTTATTGTATTGAAAGATATTCTAAGTGAAAAATGTGAATGCAGTGGATGATTAGTTTCCGATTAGAAAACGCTTGCCAGGAATTTGCTAACTTTTAAATTTCTATCAACAGCTATATACATAATGACCTCAAAATATTCGTCACACACTAAACTAATCGCATTCAGCACTTTGCGCATCACAGTAAAATCTTTTCTCAAAACCCAGGAAAGAATAATAAACAGTAAACAAGAACCTACTAATCGTGAACGTGAGTGCTGAGCAATGTCAAAAACATGTAGCCACTTTATATAATAAATCAGCCAGAAAACTTTCTTCGATATCAGTAAAACATGAAGAAACCAAGAGGGATTAGGAGAGAAATTTACACCAATAGTATAAACTTCCCGAAATCTTAACAGGGTGTTTAAATCTTATTAATGTTTCAGGCTAAATTTAGCTGCTTGACATTTTAAAAGATAAAGTAAGAAACTATTAACGACAGACCGTTGTTCAGTGACAGACAAGAACTCATCCATTTCAAGATGTGAAGAGGCAGAATTCGAAGTATATACAATGAGTGTTTTCTGTAGACGGTTGATCATGTAGAGAAAGCGAGAAAAGAAAAGGGGAAAGAACTCCTTATGACATACCCTACTGACTCAGTAAAGACGTTAAATACTTTCTTCTAAGCACAGAATACCGTTCTCCTCCAAAGAGATAATAACACTGATAGTCCATTAATCAGCTGTCGGTGTTGTTGCTGGTAAACCTGTTTAGTGGTTGTAGTCTTGATGTAGATTCAAAGACAGTAGTACAGTCTAGAAATGCGCATTGAACACATTTACTTATTTCTGGGCTGAACACTATGATATGATGCGAGACTACAGCAGCATACAAGGTACTTTTTTACGTTGGTAAGCAAACTGATGCAGATCAATAGGCTCTTTCAATGCACACCGAAGTTGGGACAGCGAAAGTTTTTCCATTGTCTTAAGAAAAGGTAAAATAATTGCTATAGGTCTAGATTTTGTAGTTGTTTTAATTCTGTGGATTTAAATCGTTCAAACCTCATAAAAAATGGTGAGTGAAACAAAAAACAAAAAAAAAAGAATTTGAGACGGATAACAAGTGGAAACACCAACGGTGTTTTCCTATGAGTCATTTGTAAATAAATCCGTCTTTCGTAGGGAAACATATTTTTCAGATTTTAGATATTTCCTTGAGTTACTCCTATATTTAACTTTCTTTGTCCGGTGTAAGAGTGTACTCTTTGCATGTTTGCCATTTATTTTGAGTAGAACACGAATAATACAAAGATCGGAAATCAGTAATGAAGCATGTTTACGCGTTACATATAGTCCCCATATCAATTGTCAAAACTAGGTCTAATTGTACATTTGAATGAGTGAGAAAATCAACTACATTTTGGTGACCTAGTTCTGAAAGAGAGCTACAGTCATGCGAATTAAAATTACCACAAATAATTCAAAGTGAACCAATGAAGGCAGTAACAGAAAATTCGGTAAATTCATCAAGGAAAACAGATAGGGCAGATGAGGTACAGTTCAGAGTCACGTATATGCTGGTACTATAAATATAATTGTTCTTATCCAAATAATTTGGACGGCACCCTAGGGTCGGACAATTTATAAAGTCCCTTGAAAAGCTAAAACATGCAAAACAAGATCGGCACCAGTTAATATTTACAAATGTGGCTACACAACCACCACACTCCTTCTTATTGTTTGATCTATCCTGAGGATAAATATTCAAACTATGTAGTGATGCTAAACAATCATCGTCTGAATAATTTAATCAGGATTCTTCAATTGCGAGATATGTTTAAACCTAATCAGAATTGAAGACAGTCCCACCTTTCCAAAGTGCTAGACAGCTGGAGGTTAGTAGTTTAGGAATCGACATTTGATTAACGTTCATTCTTTTCAATACATATCGACAGCCACCGTAATGTCTAGGATTTAACGTATTTGTACCTTGTAAAGCGAAAGGTCGTAAATTTTTTATATAGGCGCCTGAAAAGGTTGTGTACCTAACGGACATAATTAGCGTTAGCAACAAACGAAAACAGGTAACTTGTTGAAATGTTTTAATGTAAGGAAAACAGGTAGCCCAAATATTTAAGCAGTTTCTGGATTCACAATAAATATATTAAATGAGCGTAAAATGTAGCAATTTCGGAGTGTTTAAGAATTTAGCACAAACTATAGAATATTTGGTAATCCTAACCAGAAGTAAAACCTACTTGACATCGAAAAAATTATCGTTCAGTTTTGTTTAAGCGCTAAATTACTTCGTACCTATGTTCTTTCGATGTTATGAGGAAGAGGTTACTCAACTGAGATGGTGGAGAAAATTTGTAGCTCAGGTGGATAACTGTGGTGGTGTTTCGTTCTCTGAGCTGGATGTTTTAGATTGTGGAGCTTTCATTGTTCGTCTGAATAACATCATTAGCACAAACTTCAGATAGAAGTGAAGCATTCGAATTTTTCCACGTTTGCCCGTAGCTTGTTCTGTTAACCTCGATCTTGATTGGTTGCTGTTGAACTTAAACGACGAAACACCACCACAGATTACTCAATCGCAAAGCCTGTCTAGTTAGGATTACCCAGTGAATACATCTAACAGGCAACTACCAATGACCATCAGAATATAACCCAACTGAAATTGCTTTTCACTTCACTTGAGAATCGTTAACAAATTTTATTACTACTTCCAGGACTTGAGGTGAATATTCTTCGGTTATCCATGCTTAGGTGATCAGTTTAAGACTAGCCAGTCCTAGTGATTTACACCTTTGTGTTTTTACCAACTATTAGTCTCCATTTGTAAAACAATAAGTAAAAAGTAAGTACTCCTGATTTCACCACTTATTTGATCCTCATGAAGGTATCCAAGAGATGGGAAGTAATGATACATATATTCTTCCACAGTTTCAAACCTAAGATGCCAAAGCTGCTACTTTAAAAAGTCAAAATCGGAACAAAACATTTACTTACCAGATGTAAGATTTTTATCATCAGATTGTAATCTGAAATCAGGAGAAATGTAAACAAAGGAAAAGCATAAAATAGAGGTCATGAACATTTTTGGCCATAAAGTAGTGTAAAACAGTAATATTAGATCATTAACCTAACGGCAGCTACAATGCAAACTAACACTCACAGTTGTAATTGACACATGGAACAGACGTCAAAGATTTCGTTTTTTTTAAACTAGAATCTTTGTATTACAAGAACAGATTAAATGTGAATTCGAAACAGACTTTGGTGTAGGAGTAAAACCACGAATTACCTTGGACCATGAGGTCGAAAATAAAAACTAGTCCGAAATTAACCGGTATATTGACTAGTCAGATGGCAGGCAGACATTTTTAGTCAAAATATTAGGAACAACCACTATAATGATGATTGTGAATGACTCCTGAATCACCACCAGTCAATCAAAAACATTATTGGAATAAATATGTGCAAATATGATTCATCACAAATTAAAATCAAATAAGGAATTTGTTGGGATAATCTAAAAGTGAGTAGTGCAAAAGCATGCAAGTACTTGGTTTTCCGTGAGACTCGATAACGAAATAACTAAAATAAGGGAACATTTGATCTCTATAAAAAAAATTAAGGAAGTATTCCTGAATATTTCCAGCAATATAAACAATTCGTGTAATTTTTTACAACAGGAAGTTCACTTATCAGATTTTGACATTCAAGTTCACAAAAATTAGGCTTTCAAAATAAAACCAATCACTTTAGACAGTTTATGATTTCTAATACACATTCACCACGGAAAATGTAAATAAATCACTAAATTAACTGATGTGACCTAGCAACAGACAAAGGATAGATAACTAATTAGGTAACATGACCAAAACATTGAGATAGATTATAGTTGCATAACCTTCACAACTAAAAGTTCAATTTTCATAAAACATAGTCTAATTGAACGAAATAAATCATTCTGAGATATAATATGTAGGGACGATAAAATTCGAATGTTCTATCATAGTATATCCAAACTTACAACGCGATGAGTCAATGTTACCACTGACTGGTAAAACTCGCTCTGAAATTTACTATTATACATACATATATATATAAATACTAGATATAAGAACTTCTTGGCCTTTCGCTAAAACTACATAGGCGTTGTAGACAATTTTATGTCATTTCTTTAAATTTGAGTAATTTGATTATTTCATAAGAAGATTTTATTCGATTGAGCAAAGTCAAAATCTTCTTTGGAGTAAGGGGTTTACAGTAAGACCATGTACTAACTTGGGAAAATCGCTGGTGATAAAAGTGAAAAGAATAGTAATAACGAAGAAGTCCATTGAAAGGAACTCCTAGTAACAACCCAGTTGTTTTTAGCCCCAGATAACCGCATTTGCCTTTCCAATTACTACGAACAATCAATCAATATAGGGACAGTGAACACAATTTGAATGACACTAACCGTACCACATATAGGTAAACTGAACACACAGTCAATCATAGTTCGAACACTACATATACATCAACAGAATACCAGAGTAGTACGCTAATATACATATGCACGTTTTCAAACGATTATTCACAGTGGTCTCTAAATGGATCGTATTCTGCAACCTCGCTTTGTCAAGTGTTCATATTTCAAAATACGGTTACTAGTTTGTATTTCAGTTTTTACAATTTGTAATTGACACTTTTCTGCCTGAAAATACCCAAGTTATGTGTCCGACTTTCTTGTTGCTACCGAACACGCATTTTTCCACCTTTTTTGTCAACGTTCAAAATGCCCTATTTACACACTATTAATAACGACACTATACTTAAACTATAGGTAACAGGTGTTCAACTGAAGGATCTTTTTTGATGAGCCTAACAAATCTCATCAATAGTTGAATTTTTCTCACGATTAACTAGGACTGAGGAAGAAATTAAAAAGTTTTTTAAGTTGATCCTTCACTAGTCTGTAATATGATTTCTTGACCATGTTATCAAGACCCATTAGCTTTACGAAACATTTAAATTATTTAATTTCCGTCGACGAAATTATTCGTATTAAGATTATCGGTTAGAAGTAGGAAGATTAACTACAAAATGGGTTAAATAATCAATCACTTTAATATGAGCAGTTTTATTTTACAACATAACTAATTGAAACTTTCGTCGAAGGTTTTCACAGTTTAAGTCAAACTTTTAAGGAACTTGTAAAACAGGAGAAAATCATATATAGTTAATTAGAAATACCCAGAATACCGTTAGGGCTTCTATAAAAAGCATGTTGAAGGATCGACTGGCTGCGTGAGACAAAACAACAAAAAGAAACGCTTTGAGCTGAACAAACTACTAAGGACTGAATGGCCGGAACTGTTAGTCATTAAGATTCGCGAAGACACAATAATAGGACCAACTAGAAACTTAACCGTCAAATAATTTTCGAACATCTAAGCGCTGCAGTTGATATACAGAGCATAAAAATGGACAACGACATTTTTATCGATTGCAGCCCATAATTCCTAAAACCGAAAGTAAATATTTCACATAAATGTCGAAAATATAGTTCAGCAGGACTGTACCAAAAAGTGAACATCGATTTATCTTGAAAATTATTTCAGTATATAGAAACGTTTCTGAACAAAAAGTCAGATCGCTTTGGCAAATGTGAGACATATTAATGATACAAATAGAAATAATTAGGGTGAGTCAAAATACTACTTACTGAGAATTCGCATCATTATTTGAGATTTCCTTTCCTTCATTTTTTGATTCTATATTGTCAGTGTTAACGACAGAATTAACAGAAGTCATAGGTTCTAATTCACTTGGGGGAGCACTAGCCGCATTCAGGTAAGCATTCATTTGTAGGACAGCAGCATTCAACAGTACATTTATTTGACGTAAAGCAGTGAAACGAGCCTCGGCGCTGGCACGAAGGCGAGCTTCATCGGCTGATTCAGGTAGTCCAGAGGGCGGTTCTGGCATAGGAGTGCTTCCATTAGAGAACAAGTTACCTAAGTACAGCATGATACATTAGTTTACTGATGTAAATCTA